AGTGAGAAAGGAAGAAAGGAAGGAAGGAAGGAAAGAAGGAAGGAAGGAAAGAAAGAAGGAAGGAAAGAAGGAAGGAAGGAAAGAAGGAAGAAAGGAAGGAAGGAAAGAAGGAAGGAAGGAAGGAAGAAAGGAAAGAAGGAAGGAAATATGCTAGATAATGTAACGTGAGACCTGTACTCACCAGAATAGTAAAGCAATGCCGACACTGAAAGTAGACAGTGTACTGCCAGAAAGCCAAGGGGAAATTCAGGAAAAAATAGTGCTCAACAGAGTCAATGGTCAAAAAGAGAATGTAAACTGTACACCTTGGATTTGACAGGACACTGTCACTGCCTTTTGTGTGACCTGAAATGCCAGCTGCTTGTATACATATATAAGAATATGTATATAAGAACAAATATATTTTAAATGTACATATATATGAATATATCGCTAACAAGATATTTGTGTGCTATGATTTATAATTAAAAAGAAGGAATAACATGACATTTGGGAGAATGCCTTTAGCTAGAATCACAGATAAAATTTAACAAAACAGATGACTTTTAATGTGAAACACAGTAAGGAGGGTTTTGATGGATGAACTTGGGGCTGAGCTATGTCCTACAATCAGAGGAAAGTGCAGAGCAGAAGGAGAAAAGGTGACACAGATTTGAAGTGTCCAAGCTTCTGCGGAGCACATCTTAGAACCATGAAAGGAAGTGGCACATAGGCATTTCCATCTAGGTTGATGACATAATGTTGTTTTATATTATCAATAGCCATTATAAAAGCTGTATTTACTAAAATGGGCCATGAATTTGATTTAGCCCTGTCTTGTGAGCTATGTTTCATTTGTTTGTTTGCATTTATCAGAGATTTAAAGAAAATCTATCTGAAGTGAACTTAAGTAGGTTTTTCAGAAAACTGTTTTCGTTCTGAATGAAACTCTTTTGACCTCTTTGGCTCTGAAACTTTTTAATCTTTGAATTAGGAAATGGGCTCCATCACTTCTTAAGTTCTTTGTAAGTACAACTCAATGATATGGAAAACTGGTTTTTAAAAAAGCACCTAATTATGCATATATACTCAAATCATTTAAGTACCCACTGATTTTTTATTATTATTAAACTAATCACGAAGTTCTCACATTCTATTTTAATGCTTGTATTTTAAAAGTTCAAGTTTCTTAACTATTTTTAAATAAAATCCAAGTTATTAAAGGTTGTTCGATATGCACAATCCAACAGAGATTTTTTTCCTCAGCAGATGGCTTATAATGATATTACACTTTTGTGAAATCTGTAAAATTTTAACATGATAGTATTGAAGTCATTCTAAGAATGATGTATCCATTTCTATATTAGAAAATCAGGATGTAGAAAGATTTGGTGGCTTGAAGCAGGTCACCTGCCCATATGTGTTACAGTCCTGAGTCTATACAGACAAAACCTGACACAAACTCATGTGAGCATTGATACCTCAGCTCTTTTTAAACTTGATATAATTTATTCTGTTTTTCTCTTTTTCTCGCTCATCATGTTAGTTGTACAAGTGTCTAGACCACACTCCTGTTGGCTTTCCCATGATGAGTTTATACTCTACCCTAACCAACAGCTTCATTTGCTGTGATGCCCTCATGCATAATGCTTCTACTCAGAACAGCCTTTGATACTAACTTCAGAAAGGTACAAAGTGTATGGCATGGGAAAAGTGCTGCCTGAGGACATCAGAAACCGTGTGTGTGTGTGTGTGTGTGTGTGTGTGTGTGTGTGTGTGTGTACCTACAAGTTTATATATGCATATGGAATGGTTGTTCACTTGTATGTATGTGCTTGTGAAGGCTAGAGCACAGCTTCTGGCATTGTCCTCAGAAACTTTATCCATCTACTTTGAGGTAGATTCTCTCATTGGCCTCAAGTCACCAACTAGACCAGCCCCAATGAGCCCCAGGGATTAACCTATCTCTTCAGTAACCCAAATGTGATTTGCAAGCATACACTACCACCATGCTGCAGAATTTTCAATGTATTCTGGGGTCTTAACTCTGGTTCTCATATTTGTGAGGCAAGCATTTTAGTGACTGAGCTTGCCCTCTGTCCTGGAATCTTATTACATAGAAGATCAAGGAAGGAACAATCATCACTGGACAAGTGTGCCTCATACATATGACAGTAGTATAGGACATCATAACATAAAGGTGTCACAAGTTTCTCCTTCATATATCCTTTTAAAGGAATGTCATCAATTATAGAAATGTATTTGGAATATTTTGGGGTGTCAAAAGCACGTAAAAGGATTTGATAGAAATTAAAAACTTGCTCTAAATGCGCACTAAAGGTATATATTGTATTTCGTCAGCAGCCCAAACAAGCCTTTGTTGAAGCCAAGTAGCTGATACGTGCAACTTCCTGTTACCATTGTCAGCTGTCATAGACTCCTTTTATACCTGTCTGTGTGATCTTGTGATTCCAACAGAGGCAGATGACAAATCAATGCATTGCAGATTAGATCCCTTCTGGAAAGAAGTATCTACAATTCCATGCGGGGTCAACATACTTTCAACAGCACAGAAGCCTTCTCCCAGATGTGTGTCTGCCAGACCAATGTACACAACAAAGCAAAGGAAGGGACATACATTCAAATACACTGTAGTCCTCAAGTCCCAGCATTTTGTTTTTCTCCTTTCTGTGACTCTCTGAGCTTCATGGCAAATGTCTACTACAACCTCAGACACCATTCTGACTTCTGTCAGATAAAAATCTCCAAAGAAGCTGGGAATGGTAATCCCACCAGTAAGTAACCCAAGCCCTTAAGAGGCTGAGGCAGGGAGATTGTGAGTTCAAGGCCAGTTTCAGATATATTATAGAATTTGTTCCAGACTCATCTGAAGAACAGATCACTGTTGGCCAGTTCTACAGGGTTCTTTCTGTACAAATAAGCAAACAGTTGTCCCAAAGGCTCCACCTCTATCTTTAAACACAAGGCACTTACAAAGAGAGTCCTGAACTCTTTCTCAAGGTTGATGTGACTGCACTGTCAGAGATTCCTAATAGTCTTTCTATAATCAAATGTCCCTCTATGTGCACAACAAAGACATCAAGACCACTGTCACAGCCAAGTAAGTCTGCCTGAGGCTCTGCCCAGCAGTTGCTGGAGACTGCCAGCCAATGAGTTGGAGCCCTGGCCTGAGTGTGGCAATAGAGTTTACATTTCACATGAATTTAGTTTACTTGTTAGTTGCATAATATACATTTCATTTGTACACGGTCTTGAAATTCGGAGTAGAATGACCTATATGCAGAGCAGAAGTTAAGTCGCTGTCATAGCAGCTTCATGTATATAAAGTGAGATTTGCCTCCTAAGGACTAGAAATAGATGCAGTAAACCCAATCCAATGAATCTCTATTTTGTCAATATGTTATTAACACAATAATGATGGTGGCAGGGAGGAGAAGAGTAGCTGGTTGGAGCAGCTAATGACTGCTAAGAGTTTAGTAAACTAATTTTACCCATAGACAAAAGTTAGCCATGCTTGTTTATTTTGTCCTTCCACAGATATCAAATATTAATGATTCATATAAACTACTATTTCAAAAAATGATTTTACTTTAGATAAAATGTTCACCAGCTTAGGCTTGTCCTTTCCCAACAAATATCTCATTTGCATATATCAGCTCCTGCTGCTCCTGCACAGCTGTGACTTGGGCAGTAGTTTGAAGGGATGCTAGTAGCACATGACCTAGGAATGGAAATGTCATTGCCCCTGCAAAGACAAGAGGATGTTTCCATTTAATACATGTGCCAGGGCCACTGTCCTCCAAGATGTGCTGTCTGTGACTACCACCATGCTGAACTGAGTTCCTAGTTATTAGGGTCTGCCTTCTATTTGTCTTCCGTTGACTTTGAAAAAGATCTCCTCTTCCCTCTTGGCCCTCTCCTATTGTTCCCTCACACTTTTATAGCCTGCTGTCTCACAACAGCATCAGATAATGGCTAAAGAATTCTTGCCTGCTTGCTGGTCTCCCCTCAGACATGCTAGGAACAGCAGAAGGTATGTATGTTCCTACATTTACTGACAAAGGTGACTTATATTCAAGTTCACATTGTAAAACACATTGTAAGCTACTAATAACAATTAGGTAAGGTTGAAATGGTTAATAAAACTTATATAAACAAAGAAAGAAATTAAGCTGTCTGATAGCAAGTGCTATGTTGTTAAATACTAATTAATTTAATCAGAGACATGAGATTAAAACTGGAAAGTATCATTATGTAAGATGAAGAGCATGACTTTCCAAAAAATAAACACACTTTTACTCATATTATATCAGTGAAAACAAGGAATATTGATAATCACACCAGGAAGAGTGTTCTTAAAACTCCACTCCTTCCTTTTCATTTACAAAAACAGCATTCACCTATTTCACGAAATCCACTAACTCAAAATCATGTAAACAAAGAGATGAATGATCACTTTATTGTTCCAAAATTACATTTAAGGGCATTTTGTGGCAGAATAATCATGCTGTAACCTATATTAAATATGTGTAGTCTTAAATGTACTTGGGTAACTTCAAGTTCTTTGGAATATAGTCTATTATAATCTCTTTGATGACTAAGTTTTAGACTTGGATTTACTTCTGAGTACAATTATATATGAGATTACCATATCTAGTAATTATCATGGTTTAACTTACTCCAACATTTTAGTTTGGTGTCATACTTGTTGCATAAGCAATAAACAAATTTATATGCAAAATTACACATTATAGAAATAACAACATGTATGGAGATTCAAGTTGTACTTATAAACATTAATTTCTGCATTTCTTTCTCCATCTTTGTCTGTCTTTTAATAGCAAAATGCCTATTATATTCTAGAAAATATACCTGAACTCAACTGCCATCAGTTTCTATAGATATTTTTTACAATAAAAACATCTTTCTCCTCTGTCCCTTGCATGGGCAGGTCGATTTTCATTGAAAATGGTTTCAAGCTGGCTCTAATATTTACTCACTTATGCAGGTGCGTTCGTCAGCATGGCGTCTGTACCCTGTATCACACACACAGTGGAAGGTGCCCAGAGTGTTAATACAGCGCTGCTGGCAGCCTCCATTCACCACCGCACATTCATCGATGTCTAGAGGAGCAAGACAGATGGTCAGGATTACAATGTCATTCCAATGTTAACTTCACAGAAGTGGTACAAATATTTCTTTGATACACAGTATGTGTTATATTGTACAAAAGCACCATCTCTATTTCCACAAATCTATGCTTGTTTGATCCACTTTGTTCCACCATGTAAACAAGAAAATATAGATGAAAATGTTATTGAGTGGGTTTTTGTTTTGTTTTGTTTTTTCTGTTTTTTAGGACAGCAACCATGAGCATTGTGATCCTCTCACAATTTTCTGTTCCTCATGTACTGACTAATTAGGCAGATCTGAGATAAAGATATTTCCTTGGGGAAGGAAAACTGGAGGAGAGAATTACAATGAGCTACTCTCTCTGGAGAAGCTCACATTAGTAGATAAACACCTATTCTTGGTCTGACAGTGCTGAATAAATCCAGTAATGGAGTTAAGACCTTGAGTCTCCTTCCCATGTGCTATAGTAGACATCAGAGCAAAGATAGATGACTCAAATGAAACCATGGCTTAGTGTTCTCAGAAAAACATCAATACATTGGTCCCACTAATTTAGCTTCTTGTTCAAGTGGCTATTTGCTGAAACACCATTTTCATATAAGAGATTGGCTATTAGCTTTGAAAATAAAATGGAAAATAGTCCAGAAAAATTTTAATTACCTATGTTGTATTATAAGTAATAAATGCTATCAGTATACACAAATATAATATTGATTTCTTACTGAAAAATTATTTCATTTCCCAGAACTTATACTTCATTGTGCCTCATGCAATCGCTACTTAGATATTTAAAATTATAAGAGAACAAATTGTAGGCTATCTATGAATTTTTTAAAAAATTCTAAACTTTCTTATTTGGAGGTTTGTATAAGTTGAAATGAGGGTTGGTGTGGTAGTATGTCCCTGTAATCCCAAAGGTCAGCATTTTAAAGCATGAGAACCCTATATTCCAGGTTAATCTAAGAAATGCAACTGGGAGGGGATAAATGAGGGAGAGAAGGAGGAAGAAGGCAGGGAAGGAGGGAGGGAGGGAGGGAGGGAGGGAGGGAGGGAGGGAGGGAGGGAGGGAGAGAGGGCAACATCTTTCTGAAAATTTCAAAGTAACAGCCATCTCCTGACTTGGGGTGTGTATTTCAGGGGATAATTAGATTCTTACTGCCCATACACTCATACCTGCTGGAAAGGATATATCATGTGAACAGTCACTCACTGGATAGTTCATTTTTTTCTAAATGGAACACAGAAAGCCACTATGACAATGACCATCACTACATATCTCCATGTCAAAATCTCAGGATTGGTAAGAAATATTTGACCAATGGTAACAAAAGAGTTTTCATTTACCAGGCATTTATTTTGTTCTTTCTCAAATAAAAGTGATAGTATATTCCCCACAAGTTTGGTATATCTTCTGAAATATAAGATACTCTGGATGAAGTCCTAATATTTTGAAAGTAAATTGTATTTCAGAGATAAAACTCATTGATGTGTCAAAATGTAAGAATTTTTATTACATTCTGAGTTTGTGGTAACCTGGCATATAAGTGTTTTTCATACAAAATAATGTTAAAACAGAATTCTCTATTTTGTGTGGGGATTTAATACCTATACATGTTACATTTTTATCTTACTGTCTTTGGGGCATTATTCTGCAGAGTGGAGATATAATTCTGAATCTTAACTGTCAACATCTAGATTAGACATCCTTCTGAGGTCTTTCATTTTGTACATACAAATAAAACTCTTAATTCCCAAGCATAATATACTTTACATGATAAATAACATTGCAACTATCATGAATCATACAATAGCATTTTATATGTGTATATATAAATTAAAAAGGATCTTAAAATATGTGAAAAGATGTAAATTGTTTCTTCTGGGGAGGGCAGACAGGTGTATTCCATTACAGCACTGGCCTTCTGCTGATGGGGTAGCATGCTAGACAATTTTTTGAAGCTTTATTTTTACTTTATGTGTATGTGTGTATTGCCTGCATGCATACATATAGATCATGGTCATGCAGTGCCCACAGAAGAAACCATCACATCTCCTGGAACTGTAGTTTCAGATGACTGGTAGCCTCCATGTGAGTGCCAGAACAGAACACCACTCCTTCGCTAAAGCAGTCAGTGTTCCTAGCTGCTGAGCCATCTCTATACCCCTACACAAAACTGTTTAGCCTTGTCTCTGAGTTTCATGTTTGTCAGAAGACAGAAAGCCACATAGATGCTACTTGTGTATGAAATACATACTTTAAAGTAAAGTTTGTTTTGATAACTGCTCCCTTGACTTACTCGCAAGATTTTAATATTTTCTTATCAAAGACACAGACTTAGTGAAAAAAATAAAAAATAATCACTGACTATGCTCTCAAGATATAATAGATATAGACTTGACAATGAGCTTTCTCTACATAAGCTTTGGTATGTTTATATTCTTTTTTATCATTTTTTATTTTAATTTTAAATAGCTTGTTTTACATGTCAATCCCAGTTCCCTCTCCCTCCCATCCTCCCGCACTCCCCGTCCCCCCTCCCTCCCACCCTATTGCCAAATCCTTCCACATAGGGGATATCTAGAGTCTGTCATTTTACTCTTGGTAGGGTCAAGGCACTCCCCTAAGAGTCCAGGCTGAGACAGCATCTCTCTTTGTGCTATAGGCACACGAAGACAGTTTGTATACCAGGGATAGACACTGATCCACAGCTCAGGGCCCCATAGGTTGTCCAGGCCTTCTCACTGACACTCACATTTGGGGGGTCCAGATCAGTCCCATGCTGGCCTCCCCACTGTCGGTCTGGGGTCCAAGAGCACTCCCCTGTTCAGATCAGCTGTCTCTGCTGGTTTTGCCAGCCCATTCTTTGCCAATTTGCTCATCGCTCCTCTCTCTCTGTCACTGGGTTCCTTGGGTTCAGTTCAGTGATTAATTGTGTGTTTGCCTCTGCTTCCATCAGTCACAGGATGAAAGCTCCCGGATGGTTATAGACATCAAGTTCATTATCAGGAATGGGCATTCGAGGTGGTCCCTCCACTATTGCTTAGCTGGTCAATTGGTGTTATACCTTTAGATCACTGGAGGTCACTCTGGTGCCTGATCTGTCTTCGATCCAATGATTCCCTCTTCCCCCTATTCTACCCCCACCCCCTCAACTTTCTGTTCCCCCATGACCAACTCCCTTCCTCTTTACCCCCTCTATTCTTCCCAGGTCCCACTCCCCCACCCCTCGCCGTGTTCCCCATCCATTCAGAGGATCTTGTCTCCATCCTCTTCTCTTGGGTACTATGCATATATGCATATCTTTTAGGTTCTTTCCTGTTTCCCAGACTCTCTATCTGTGGAAGTGCAGACTGGCACTATCCTGATCCATATCTAGAATCCATATATGAGTGAGTACATACCATGTTTGTCTTTCTGCGACTGGGTTACCTCACTCAGGATGGTTTCCTCCAGTGCCATCCATTTCCCTGCGAATTTCAAGATTCCATTATTTTTTTCTGCTGAGTAATACTCCATTGTGTAAATGTACCACATTTTCTCTATCCACTCTTCAGTTGAGGGGCATCTAGGTTGCTTCCAGGTTCTGGCTATTACAAACAATGCTGCTATGAACATAGTGGAGCAGATGCCCTTGTTGTATGAACCTGCCTCATTTGGATAAATGCCTAAGAGTGTAATTGCTGGGTCTAGTGGTAGATTAATTCCCATTTTCCTGAGGAATCTCCATATTGATTTCCAAAGAGGCTGTATGAGTCGGCATTCCCACCAGCAGTGGAGGAGTGTTCCTCTCTCTCCACATCCTCTCCAGCATAAATTGTCTTCGGTGTTATTGATTCTAGCCATTCTGATAGGAGTAAGATGGTATCTCAGAGTTGTTTTGATTTGCATTTCCCTGATGGCTAAGGATGTTGAGCACTTTCTTAAGTGTCTCTTGGCCATTTTAGCCTCCTCTACTGAGAATTCTCTATTTAGCTCTGTACCCCACCTTTCTAGTGGATCCTTTGGTGTTTTGGAGACTTGTTTCCTGAGTTCTTTATAAATTTTGGAGATTAGCCCTCTGTCAGATGTAGGGTTAGTGAATATCTTTTCCCATTCTGTGGCCTGCCTTTTTGTCTTTTTGACTGTGTCCTTTGCCTTACAGAAGCTTTTTAGTTTCAGAAGGTCCCATTTGTTAATTGTCGATCTCAGTGCCTGTGCCACTGGTGTTATGTTTAGGAAGTGGTGTCCTGTACCAACTCGTTGAAGAGTATCTCCCACTTTCTCTTCTAAAAGTTTCAGTGTGGCTGGATGTATGTTGAGATCTTTGATCCATTTGGACTTAAGTTTTGTACAAGGCGATAAACATGGATCTATCTGCAGTCTTCTGCATACCAGTACCCAGTTATGCCAGCACCATTTGTTGAAGATGCTTTCTTTTTTCCACTGTACAGTTTTAGCTTCTTTGTCAAAAATCAGGTGTTCATAGGTGTGTGGGTTAAAATTAGGGCTTTCGATTCGGTTCCATTGGTCTACATGCCTATTTTTGTGCCAATACCAAGCTGTTTTCAGGACTATAGCTCTATAATAGAGCTTGAAGTCAGGTATGGTGATGCCTCCTGAAGTTCCTTTATTGTATAGGGATGTTTTGGCTATCCTGGGCCTTTTGTTTTTCCATATAAAGTTGATTAATGTTCTTTCCAGGTCCTTGAAGAATTGTGATGGAATTTTGATAGGGATTGCATTGAATCTATAGACTGCTTTTGGCAAGATTGCCATTTTTATTATGTTGATCCTACCAATCCAAGAGCATGGGAGATCTTTCCATTTTCTGGTATCTTCTTTGATTTCTTTCATCAAAGACACAAAGTTCTTGATATACAGGTCTTTCACTTCCTTGGTTAACATTATCCCCAGATATTTGATACTGTTTTTGGCTATTGTAAAAGGTGATGTTTCTCTGATTTCTTTCTCAGTCACTTCATCCTCTGTATATAATAGGGCCACTGATTT